CCGAGATCCTGTGTGGACCGGAGCCTGGCGTCCTCCAGGATAACCCTTAGGCATCTCGGATCATGGATGCTGCGATGAGGGCCACCGAGAACCTGTACAAGATGATGAACGAAATCATGTCGGCAAAAGAGGAGCTGGAGAGGCGGAGGCAGGCCGAGGAGCGGGCAGCAAGGCGGTAGCAGATTTATTGAATATTGTATTGTATATTGTATATTGTATATGTTGTTTGTTCTATTGTTCATTGTTTGTATATTGATTGTATATTATATCGATTGTAGTTGTAATTTTGCTTGATGAAATAAACGATGTTAGCTAAGGGAGAAGTAATGCTCACGCAGTTCCTCCCGTAGTTAGCGATACCACAAAAAAAAAAAAAAAGTTAGGTTAGGTTAGGTTAGGTTAGGTTAAAGTCTTTGATACGGTCAACCATCTCGAACTTTGTAATATTTTACCTAGTTTTGGTTGAAAAAATAGTAGTTTAAAATGGTTCAAAAGTTATTTAAATAACAGCAAACAAATAGTGCAAATTAATAACACCACCGGCGATGAAATGAGTATTAACTGTGGAATACCACAGGGTAGTATTTTGGGTCCGTTATCGTTCATATTATACATTAATTCCATATGTGATTTAAAAATTAATGGGCAAATCATAACTTATGCTGATGATACATGTCCATTGTTTTCCGGGGTTGAGTGAGATGAAGTTCGTTTAAAAGCTGCTAATGAATTTTAAAAAGTGATTATTTCTCTAAACCATTGGAAACTCTCAATAAATTATAAAAAAACCAATTTTATACATTTTTCAATTAATAAAGATGTAAATAATTATGATGAATTAAAACTCTGTTTTTGTAAGAGTGAAGATAAATGTAATGATAGTTTTTGACAAAAAATATACAAGGTTTCTAGTATAAGATATTTGGGCTTAATTTTTGATAAAAATATGAGATGGCATTTACATGTCAATAACATCGTAATGCGCATGCGTACAATTTATTTATCTTTATTTCAGGAAATATTTCAGTATGGTTTGCTGGTCTGGGGGTGTCTAAATGAAAATGCAGTTAGACCACTAAAAATATTACAAAGGAAAATTGTTAGAATCTGTTTAGGTAAAAATACATTAGTAGGGTTCTACTGGAGACAATTTTAAGCTACTCAATGCGTTACCGGTCGATATTGTACATAAAAAGGTAACTATTTTTATTATAACAAAAAATTATGAATCATTTTTGGATGTGGAAAATATAAGAACAAAACGGGAAGGAAGGGTATTTGATGTTAAAATAACTTATTACAAAAAATCCTTTGGTCAAAAATTCATCGACTATTTAGGTCCAAATTATTTCAATTCTATGCCATTATTTATAAAAAAAAAAATCATATTTTCCGCATATGGTAATCTTAGAATTGTGAGCATAAAAAATCACATTAACTTATGGTTATTTTCACTAATAGTATAAATGACTTAAATTATAATTATTAAGTATATGTTAAATTGTTTAAATTATCTTGTGAATTTTATTGTATATTTTGTTTTGTTCTATCTCATTATTTTGAATTTAATTTGTTTATTTTAGTATGTATTTTTGTTATCATGTAATGTAACTCTCTATCACCATCACAAGCATTGCGCTTAAGGGAGGTAGATATTTTTATTTTATTGTAAACAGCTTATTATGTGATGATTATATTTTTTTTATTTATATTTTACAATAAAAAAAATATATATATATGTATATCTTTTTTTCCGAACTTTCCACCTATAACAGTGGCGCACTCATCAGCAGTATCAGCTCAGTATATTAATTGTTATTTATGTTTAATCTGCGTTAAATATTTTATAATTAATAACATATTACTCATAATAATGAGTGTTTTTTTTTTCTTTTTTTTTTTAATGATATCGGTGTCGATAACGCTGTTAATAATATTTGAAAATAATTTTTAATCGGTTATTAAAACTAATGTGCAATAAACAAAATAAAAACACAATTCGTCAATAATATAATAATACGATTTTATCAAATAAATATAATCAACTATAGATTCATGTCTCATACATAATGTAAGCGATAAAACGTAAGTATATGCATATAATTTTGGAGTCGATATTTTCGAATATATATTTAATATTATAAATTATATGAAATAAATTTGTGTTGCTGCATTATATCGGAAATTGATAAATTTCAAATTAATGTTTTATATAGAAAAGTAACTAACAGTTTAATAATATATGCGTTTCCAATTATTATAATATTCATCCGAGTTGAATATATGAATAAACATTGTTCGAGCATCAGGCGGATTTCAACGGATTTTCAAACGTTTTTCCACGACAAATCTTTAAAAAAATCTGTACGTACAACAGCTACAATATTATACTATATTAATATAATCGCTGTAGTTACACAGTTGTGTGACGCTGTCAGTTACGCTATTATTGTAATTATTATTACTATATATTATATACATAATATTATGATGTAGCACAATCTCTGCGGACATAAATTAGGTATACTCGCCTACTACGCAATACATTTGATTATTATGATACATACCGAAAACGCGTTCTAATTACAATACGCGTATGACACGTATAGCGTGAGCGAAAATATAGAAACGTTCAATCGTTTGTACGCCTAACGAGCGAATTAAAAAAACTGACCTACACGATATAATCCGGTATAGTGCTCGCCCGGGGGTTCGGTTTACATAGGTCGTATCGATTCCTATAGGGAATGGAAAAAATTAAAAATTAAAATCGATATAAGTGTTTTTCTAAGCCAAAAACCGTTTTTATCAATCGCATTATATTAATTAATACGCGACGTCCGTAAACATTAACGAGTTGATTAGATCCGGGGGAAAATATGTATTCTTTATCACGCCTCCTTAACACGGCTCCCGAGTCGAAAAACGAAAATAAAACCTAAAACGTTAACGTTAATACGCCGACATGTCTAACAAACTTCAGTTTGTAACACCTCGAAAACCCTTAAAATACTGTCTATTAACGCGGATATTCGGATATGACTTCGTAAAGTCTATACACAGAATGCACGTACCTGTGATAATAATTATGTATCCGGAGTGCTCCATCTTCGGAATCGCGTCCACGTGAATATGATTACTATTTTTTCCTTCAATTATTGCGATTAGCGTTTATTATTACATATCGTCCAAAATATAACGAACGTCTCCCGTGGGAAACTGTTGGCTGCAGTTTAACAACTAAGTCCCATACACTCACGTTGTTTTTATTATCATGTGCACGCGCGCAAACAAAATGCCCACATAATGGTACAATAATTACTAATGGCCCGTTATCACACGGATAGTCGATAATATGTCGAATCTGTTGATCATTTCTTACACTTTAACGTAAATAACATAAGCGATCCGTTCTCGGTACTATTGACGACATAATATTATCATGTTACGACTCTATATATAATCTCAATAAAATATTTACCAAAAACTGCTTTAAGACTTTCAGAACTTTAAAAAAATTTAAATAATTTTCAACTAGAAAAAAAAAAGTATACGAACATACTCCGCACGATGGGTGGACAACTGTTGTTTAAGGTGAAAGGTTGGGAAAGTAAAGGGAAATTGAACTGTATATCTGTACTCAACGATTAGCCATTGCTAACGAAAAACGATTCCGAGCGGAATTTGGTTAATAGTGTAACTGTCGACAATGTGTATAATTATCATTATTATTGTTAATTTCTTCGAAAAGATAATAGGCCTCGCTCAACAAGTTCATGTAGGGACACATGAGTTTACAATAATTTATAATAAGGAAACTAATACATTTATAGCAGTTTACATTTAATTGTGTAGTTACTTTTCTAGTTAGAAAAGTAACTACACAATGAACCAAATACAAAATTTACAATATTTTATTCTTTAATTTAAGTCTAAAATTGTAAAAAAAAATTAAATGTAAGCTGCTATGAATGTATTAGTTTCCTTATAACAAATTGTTGTAAACACATGTGCCCCTACACGAACCTGTTGAGTGAGGCCTATTATCTTTTCGAATAAATTAACATTAATAATGATAATTATACACATTGTCGACAAATTTACACTATTAACCAAATTCCGCTCGGAATCGTTTTTCGTTAGCAATGGCTAATCGTTGAGTACAGATATACAGTTCAATTTTCCCTCTACTTTCTCAACCTTTCACCTTAAACAACAGTTGTCCACCAATCGTGCGGAGTAGTATGTTCGTATACTTTTTTTTTCTAGTTATTATTTATTTTTGTGTTTTAAGTATTATAGAATAGAGTTGCTTTTATGTCGAATGATAGCATATATTATGTTATATAATGATAAAATAATTACAAAATTGCATTTACATTTTAGATTCTGATTGGAAGGAGGAATATATTGGTTTTACAATGGTGTTTATTTTTTTATTTTTTGATTTTATGTGAATACTTTTCTACCAGAAAACACTCTTCGATTATCAAGTATAACACCTCTTCTAAAAAGGACATTTTCTCTGGATGGTACTTTATAGGTCATTTTTTGAAACTCTCATTAATACTCGGGATAATGAGGAAAACCTCGGTCTTTAGGTTAAAAAAATAAGATTGTCATTGGCAACCCTTTTTTAAACATTTTTTTTGTTATAATAAAATTTTTATTATTTTAATCATTTTACCATAATATGACATAATACCATATATTGTATTGTTGACAGAGCAACATTATCAACTGAACTCGACTCAGAATCGTTTTTTCGTTTGCAATGGCTTATCTTACCTTAAATATATACATAAAATTGCCTATAACAGCAGCTGCACCCGTCTCCATTATCCTAGGAAGTCTTTTTTTTATTTTCTTTAATAATATTTTTGTTTAATATTATACCTATTTACCCGTTTTTTCGCAATTTTTCCTATTCATTATAGAAACAACTGAAAAAATCAAAAAAAAAAAATACTTACCTAAAGTACCACCCCAGTCAGATTTCTTTTCAAAAAAAGTGCTATAAAAAAAAAACTAATAAAACTAATACATTTTTTGCCTCTAAAATCTAAAACTCAGTATCTATTGCTTATAATCCGATTGTTTAAAATGTTGATATTAGTGTTATACATATCAAAATGTCTAGAAAAATATTCTCTATTCAAATCTGTGTTCAAAATGGGAGGTTCTTATTTGAAAATCAAAAGTATTTATAAAAAATTATGTGATTTTAAAATAAAGCTTAAGCGATTCCATAATGACTAAAAAAAAAACAGAAATCAAATTCACTTAGATTTCTCTGGAATTATCGCTGATTCATGATAAAAAATCACCCTGTATAATCATAGGACAAGAAAAATCGTTCGACTAACGATACGGGGTTCGATAACCACTTATAAAAACATTTCAAAATTCTTACTCGATCGTTTTTTAAACGATTCGTTTTCCATCAAGCGTATTACACCTTTGCGAAGGGTTATTTTTTTTTTAAATTTTTTTTTTTTTTATAAATATGTGTTTTATTGTTTTACCTCGTTTTGCTGACTCCTCGTGTTCCGCGGTCGCGTTTTCGTCGACGTCCGGGCGTCCGACAGTCAAATTAGAGTTTCTGAAAAATAATAGACAAAACGAGGAATTAGAACGGTCATACTATTTCAATGTACCGGTGTGGACTGCGGACGTTTTTTAAACGGTTGGAAAAATAATATTGTGCGATTTCGGGAAAGAGGAAAATACTCGGTTTCGTGCGCTCGAACAACTTAACAGCCGTGCCGACGTCGTGTAGATAAACACTTTTACGCGGTCGCGAGATGAGCAGCGAGACGTGCGGGCAAAACAACGATAGACGGGTCCGAGGTCGAAATAAAATGTATTTTCATTTTTTTTTTCTCTGCGTATTTTAATAGATCGCTATGACTTACGGCAGACGAGAAAAGAATAATCACTATCTCATGTTTTTAAAAAAAGGAATAAAAAAAAAAAAAAAACCGGATTAAAACTGTACCAAAGTGTACGAGGAAACGAAATATTAATGTGTTCGAACCGTGTACAATGAAATCTACGATTATATTATTATTATTATTATTATTATTATCATGAAACTCTGGTGATAATATTATTAATTGTATAAAGAACATCATTGTTTCACATACCCCTGTGCACCGTCCGAATACAATGTTATAATACACACTAATAATATATTATTATTATTCTAATCTACAGTTTAGCCGATTATCCTTCTTAGATAAAAAAAAAAAAAAAAAACCGATCAGTCTTTTATCGCGTTTACTTACGATAGAAACAACAGTCTTTTTTCTAAATAATATACACGCTATAAATATAATTCGCTATATTTCAGTGCGAGAAACAAACGATGTTTGTTTACCAAGTTACTTATGGTAAACGATACTATTGTATTGTATAGGAACGTTCGATGGGACAGCTACACATTTTAAAATAGGTCGAATTTTTCCCTTTGTTGCCAAGGTGACCGAGAAATCCGCGATAAAAAACTGACAGTTTTTCCCATTTGAATTATAATAACATTATACAATAATTATTATAACTACAAAACCGAAAAATAACATCCCCGGCACACCAACTCTAGATGCTCAAAAATGCTACAACGGAGTTTAGATAGAGTATTCGATCGGAGCCAACACCAACAATATTTCGCACACCTACTTGTGTCTCGTTTAAAAATCATAACACTGAGAACTAACAAATCCTCGCATAATAAAACACCGCATCACATCCAAATCTTACTATCAGAGAAACGCAAGGCTAGAGCCAAGTGGCAAAAATTAAAATTCCCCAATGACAAGTTTAAACTTAATCAATTAAGTAACCAACTTAAAAAGGTAATTAGAAAGCATTAAAATGACTCTTATAATTCATATGTTGAAGCTCTCTCAACAACTGCTCCTTATGGAAGGCAACCAAATCCCTACTACGGTTAAAACAACCTTCTCCCCCTCTTCGCAAAGCAGATCACTCTTGGGCTATCACTGACCTCGAAAAAGTTAACATATTCGCTGAGCACCTATCGAAATGCTTTACTCCTCATGATATACAGCCTAGTGCATCACAACTATTAATAGCGGATAGCTCTCTCAATTCACCCCTTCCCATGTCACTTCCCGCTAAAAACACCTCTCCGGGTGAAATTGAACACATTATCAAGCAACTCCCTATAAAAAAATCACCAGGTCATGATCTAATTAGTAATGTTATTACAAAGAACCTTCCCAAAAAGGTCATTGTTTTTTTAACACACATATTCAACGCCATTTTTAAACTATCGTACTTTCCAAACACTTGGAAATACTCGGTCGTTATTCTAATACCTAAGCTCAATAAACCACCACAAGATCTTGCCTCTTACAGACCCATAAGTCTTCACCCAACCTTTTCTAAAATTTTTGAGAAAATTCTTTTAAAAAGACTCACTCATTTTGCTTCTTAAAAAAACATAATTTCACACACACAATTCGGATTCAGATCAANTCCTTGACATCTCCCAAGCCTTTGATCGGGTTTAGCACGATGGACTAATGTACAAACTTAAAAAGTTCTTACCCGCCCCTCTTTTCCTCTTGATAAAATCATATCTGTCAAATCGTTTCTTTACTGTTCGCCTAAACAACACCTACTCAACCCGTTACACTATTAGAGCTGGAGTCCCATAAGGAAGCGACATCGCCCCATTCCTTTACTCGATTTTCACTCATGACATACCCAAGACATTTTATACATCCTTAGGCCCATACGCCGATGACACGCTAATAACCGCCTCCCACGAAAGCCATGCCACAGCCAGTGAAATTAACTAAAACCATTTAAATATGATCAGCTTGTGGGCAAACAGATAGAAAATCAAAATAAACGAGACTAAATCTGTTCAAGTAACTTTTTCACTACGTAATCTCGATTCTCCACCTGTTACGTTAAACAATATAACAATTCCTAAGGCAAACGAAGTTAAATACCTTGGGCTAACTCTCGACAAACGCTTAACCTGGAGCCCACACATAAAACTTAAACGTAAAACTGTTAACTCTAGACTTCATATCCTTAGACCACTCTTAAAATCTAAACATTCCCTTTCCAATAAACTTACTATATACAAATCAATAATTCGACCAGCTTGGACATATGGGATCCAGTTATGAGGCTCCGCAAACACTCTAATACCAATATGCTTCAAGCTTTTCAATCTATCTGCCTACGATTAATAACATCTTCTCCTTGGTATTTCACAAACAATAATCTTAACAAAGACCTAAAAATTCCTACACTCAATCAATTAGCAAAAGCACATTACTCTAAATTTCACTCAAACTTTAACTCTCACAGTAACCCATTAATAAAGCAACTTTCTTCCACCTCACTTCCTGGAAACGTAAGCAGAAGACTCAAAATACAGTGGCCTAGAGACCTACTAAAATAATAATAAAAAAAAAAACACTGAGAACAAAACCCCGCGTACCATCACAGACGATCTCGTTGTTCGTATCGATAAGTTCGATAACGCGAATCGGTTCGCTCTAATGCTAAACTAATGGTGCGAAATCGGCCTTGTCGATTGTCTGAGTCGCCGCGGCGTCAGTACAAGACTGAGAATTTGCTTGTCTATCCTCTTAGAAGTTTTAATTTTTTTTGTTATATAGCCTGAATTCCCGACCACGACAGTTGAAGTCAAAACATTATAAAAATAAATATTACGGTTTAAAATTATTGTTAATAAGTAACAACGCGAATGCATTACACCATTCGAGATTTTATTATTACCGGTTTCGGAGCAACAGAGAAGCCACCAAAATATTTTAAAAATTGAATAACAAAAAAAAAAAAAAAATACTCTCAATTTTATTATTTATTATGTATCATATATGTATTTATTTTTATTAACCTAAATGGTTATATAAATTTAAAAAATAACCATATTAAAACTATAATGCATGTAACCACAAACCATAAACAAACCAAATAAATAAACCTAACGTTTAAATATTGTTACTCCTCGGTTAATATTTTTCGTTTTATTAATTGAGTTTAAAGTTTCAAATTAAATTTTTTATCGTTATTTTTTTTAAATATATTCATATAGTATTGAACAAAAAAAAATCACAAAAATTTATTCGTTTCGGAGGTTGTTACACCCGCGTAAAATAAATTTAAAAAATTAAATATTTATCAAATACGCGTATTTAATATCATTTAATTATAGTATATTAAAAAAAAAAAAAAAAAAATACTATAATATGAAACAAATATTTTTATGAAAAAACGTCGCCTGAAATTAGATTTTTTTTTTATTATTATTGCATTGGATATAATATTAACTATACGACAAATAATTAATCAAAAAAAGATTATTACACAATATAAAAATACAATATAGTACGCATTAGACCATAGAACTATATAAATTTTTGTATAGTGAATATATATTTTAATTATTGTTTCATCAACAAGATAATGTTCAATAAAAATATAATTATGCTATAATAAAATAATGTCGCAGTTTTATATAATGGTTTTAAATACATTTTTCCAAAGAACTATTATTAAACATTTTAAAATATTAAATTATTTTTCTAATACAAATATTATTATTTAATTTTAACCATAAAAAAAAAAAAAAGCATATTTCTAAATTCGTGGCTCAAGAAGCAACACCACCAATGAGACTGACCACTGACATCTCATTTTCTGAAATTTTTCACGAGAATAGATATGCATAGATTTATAGGTTATGACATTCGAATGTAATTTGTAATGTTTTCTAGTAAGTGGTTCACCTAGGTTGTCTGTGGATTTTATCAACAAATTTGAACACACCAGTCGATTAATCGTGAAATTCTACGTAAAACCATGTTCCCAATTCAATTTGACCAAAATATGAGACAGGCGGTGTTGCTTTTGAGGAGACGTTATACACGGTCTTCTAAATTCCACGTTAGTTCCAGATTTTCCATGAAATATTTATTTTTTGAAATCATATATTTTAAAAATGTTCTATTGTCCTAATTTTGTTCAGCCTTACTTTTTGGATGTGAAACGAAAAATGTCAACACTTAAATGTATTGTAAGTTGGTATTTTTTAATCAAAAGTGGATGGTGGTTTCATACCCAGAAAATTAGAGTAAACACAACATTTTAGAATATACGATTCCAAATTTATACGCAAGTCATTTTTGAAAAAATAAGTATTTCATGGTCAATTTTACCGTAATTTGAAATCCAAAGGACCATGTGCATTTAAATAAGTAAAGCGATCGACGTGTTACCTAAATACATTATATTAAAATTAAATTTTGTACTTTGCTTACCGTAGCGTTTTAAATAATTTATAACACCATTAACTAATACTAATACCAATATTAATTATAATATATTTTTTATACAATGTATATTATGTTAAAAATGCCAGAGTTCTACACTAAGAAAAAAAAAATAATACGAATTACAAAATAATATTGTCGTAGACTTAAATAAGAACAAACCAATCTCACACGGTCGTATAATGTTGAAGTAAAGATGACGGCAAGAAAATACAAGTAAAGTTGAAGTCATATTATTATTATTATTTTTTTTTTAAATATTATATTTGTTTAATAATTTTTATTTTTGTTTATATAAAATAAAAGATTTAGAAAATTATAAAAAAAAAAGTTGAATACAAACATTATCTATTCTATAATTTAGAAGATAATAGTCGATAAATCTCGATAAATCAGTACGCGATCTAACAATAATAATCTCGTATTAAGTACCTACAATATTTAAATTGTATAGTTATTATTATAATTAGATATTTAACATTTTTTTATTTAGTATACTACGTATTGATTTAGAGATTTCTAAAATTAACAGATATAGTTCATAATAATAATATGTATGTATAGGATATAATAGAAAACTACGATACGGTGATAATTTAATTTTTTCTTTTAAATTATCATCTCGAGAACGAAGAAAGTAAATAACATAATATTATTATACAGGCGGTCAGTAAAACGGAATACAACGAATTTACTAATATAATAACGACCGAGAAAACCACTTACTTACAGGGGCGTATTTAAGATTTTCTTTAGGGGGGGGGGGGCACGTAAACTAATTTTTCGGTGGGTCCTTTATTTTTGCACAACATCATGCTAGTAGAGTGTAGCGTTTTGTCCGTTTCGGCTACGTTTTAAACGAAATTCAATTTGTTAATTATAAATATATAGTTTAATAATACAATGAGAATTAAATCGCGATCAATGAACATAAATAATAACCTAACTAACTATGCGACCTAAACAACACTCACCATACCTAATGATGTCCCATCGAAATTTCAATCGCATAAAATGATTGAATGTGTATTTAATATCGACGACGGCTAGGTATATGATAATACATTATAACATAGTCGTATAATACAAATTGACTCACGAAGATACACCCCCGTTGCGTTATCTCAAAACTGTAAGCATTTCACAAGAAATAAGCATTCATAAAATATTGCATTTCCATTATTTTCAGTCGCGCTTATTTTCGGGTTTCAAATTTATATTAAAAAAAAAGCCATAAATAAATAATGTATTAGTTAAAATATAATTTGGCGTTGACCGCTTTTGAGTTTTCGTAGTGGGAGAGTACCGTTTGTTGTGGCAGCCCGGCACACGGCGTTTGAATAGTCCGGCTTCACTATTCTTCTCTTACGCAAACTTAAATGGATAATGGGTCTTGTCAATGGGTTGACGGAAATCAAGAACTTTAACAACAAAATGTGTTCAAACTAATAATCAATCTATTTACGACATTTTCAGTATAGTTCACTGTTTAAAAATTAAATGTGGTCATTCGACTCCTAAAAGTAAGGATGGCGAACGATAATGGTAATATAACATTTAAGAGCTATCTTAAGTTGTCAAAAAAAATAAAAAAATGCCTAAATTTTATTATTTGTCGAGATATCACAATCTTCATGGTACGCCTCGTATAATATATATATACAAAAAAGGTCAAGGGGATTAATCCCCCATATCCCTCCCTCGTGAATATACCCCCGATTATTTAACTTAACCTGAAACAATGTTTTTTAAGTTTTCAAGACAAGACAATATGTGCGTTTCAATTAAAAAGTTTGAAAGTTTTTCCGGGACCCCGTCTATTCCTTTGAAAGCCCGGGGTCTACAGTCCCCCTAACCGGTTAATTTTCATCAGAAAAAAACACGTGATCTGCAGAGTGTAGTTTAGTTGTTGAAGCGTTTATTATGTTTCTGGAGAGAATACCGAACAACTATCGACACGGTTCGATAGGAAACTGATAAAATCTACACGCGAATTGGAGGAGGACTGGTACCGTTTTTGGAACGACAATAAATGAAAATGACATGTTCAGTTTCGAGAAATTTTTAAATACGGGTCAATATTATTGTCAACTCCGCAACGTGCGCAAGACGAAGATAGCGTATTACGCGAGGGGACATTACCTATTTTCAAAGTCTATAAAGGCCAAACACGAACGTGTGCAATAGAATTAGTGAAACGCGATACGACGCCTGTGTAACTCTATACCGTCGTGGCAACGACCCGAACACCTAACCTAACTCAACGTAACCCACATATTTTAACATATTTTATTCGGAACCGTATTAGAGCGAACACATAATTCGTTGGATATTACATTTAATTCTGTTGGAAAATATCTCTCCGGCACTGTAATCTCTCGGGAATACACGTCACGCATCCGAGTTATATGCGCACACTATTCTAAATAGAATATTTTTTCCGAGCAAATACAGTTCCGCAAGAATGTTTACCGACTTTTCCCGCGCCTTGGGAAACGCGGCAAAGGAACTGTGTATACATTTAAAATAATAGGAATGCGAAACAAAGGATATCGAACCGACCCTATCTCGGGGAAAAGGGCCGAAACCGGGCCGCTAAGCGTGTGCAAGGTGTATTGTAAATTCGAGGCGAGTTTAGGAGGTCGGTTTCGCCTAACTCGGTAGTTTGATTACGCTTTCGGTAAAAAAGGCTTACTTGGCCCGAATGCGGTACATATTATATTGTAATAGGGATGAGGGGGTGCGTAATAATATAGGAAGTTATCGGTTTGCGCCCTTACGCGAAAACGCTGTCGTCACCGTGGTCGTCTTCCGCTGCGGCGTGCTGCGGCGGTTCGTCTTTGTGCACAAAGTCCACCAGGCGGGGTGGTAACCGGTATGGCGGCGGAGGCGGCAGTGGCGGTTGCGAGGACGGCAGTGGCGGCGGCGGCGGCGGGGGCTTCTTCTTGGGTGGCCGCACTTCCTTGCGAGGCAGCGGCTTGGGTGGCAGCTGCCGGTCTTCCTCGGCCACGGCCACCAACTTCTCGTACAGGCCCACGTCGTCGCCAATGGCCGCGCTCGACGAGAACTCCCGTTCCAGCTGCATGAACGGCTCCAGCACCCTGTCCAGCACGCAGCCGTTCTTGCCACCGCTGCTGTCAGCGTCGTCGGCCATCCGATCATCGCCGTCATGACCGGCCAACGAAGACGTCGCCGGACACTTGGATACCACAGTGGACACGCTGCTGTTGGTGTCATCCGATTCCGACTCCCCGTGGTACACGAACCTGCGAACCGAAAAAAAAGGTAATCCGTTTGTTAGACGACGCTTTCGGTTAAGCCAAGAAAATTAAATACGCAATTTGAGTTTCCTAGCTACTTTGCTACTTGTTAACAGACACTCGAAGCGAATAAATCGGCGAGTTTATTGTTCACGCCGACCGAACAATGTTCTAAACGAGTTAAAAGTCTCACGTGCAAGCCACGCGTTTGTGACTACGGGAGAATGGGGGGAGGGGGAGGAGGAGGAGAGCAATTTCGACAATCGAATCCGGCCGTGGGAATTTCAGAATTGTCTGGAAATTATTTTTAATTTATAACAATACAAACGACCTAAATGTTGGATAAGTGTGCGCAATGTACACAAACGTTTACGCCTGATAACCTGGCAAGTATAATAATATTTTGTTCCCAGCCAAACCGTTACCTATATTATTATCGTCTTCGGTGTTCAGATGTCCTACTAAGGAACAAAAAGCGCATTATAAGGCGATTAGAAAAAAAAAAAAAAAATTATACGTATAATATACATTTATTAATATTATTATTATCGTTTAAGTATTACAAGTATTTAATACCAACGCGCGTCGTCACAGACTGAAATCGTTGACTTCGCGATGAAGTGTACGTTCGCTGTATCCATTTAATAATAGGTAACGTTGTTAACGGACATTTTGTGAAGAAGACAAAATTGTCCACAGTTGAAACATTAAACTGTTACAAGTTATATGGATAACGACAATAACAGAAGGAAAGATAAAAGGAAAAGCTGGAACAGGTAGACCAAGAACACCATTTATGAAACGGATCGTAGAAGACATGGGGAAAACCAATTATGAGGAACTAAAAGTAGCTGTAATGGATAGGGACAAGTGGAGAGCCATCGAAGTAATTTGACCAATCTAAGGATTGAAAGAAAAAAAAAAAAGTTATAAACTTGTAATTCATGACTGATAAATTTATATTTGGATATCAGTTTTATGCCTATCAAAATGTGTAGAAAAATGGGAGAGGTTGTTTTATGAAAATATTATAATATCATATTATGAAAATTTGTATTTTAGGCTCCGAAGAATAAATTGGTTTTACTTTTTAAATAACTCATGAATTCAAAAAATACCTACGACATTCCCTCCAAAATATCGATCTCTATAAATTGCATAATAGATACTTTTTTTATAAAATAATCAAAATTAACCCGATTTTACTTATTCTGCGTAAGCAATGTTTTTGCATGTTACCCGATAGTTGGACTGAGACAGTAGATGCGGATAAAACGTCTTCTTAAGACGGTTCCGAAAATTTGTTTTTGACAACCTACCGGGCGTTTTAGATTTTATACTCACGTGAAAATAACAGTTATCAAAAGTCGTCAAAAAATTCAAATAATAATAATAATAAAAAAAAAAAAAAAAAAAAAAACCATAAAAATAATCGTTTCGGGCTCGTAAAACCCGGCCCGCAGAGAAGTCGACCCGGATATATTATTATGTTTTTTAATGGGCGGACTTCTAAAACGTAGGAAAAAAAAAAAACGAACATACGGATTTTGACCTCTTTAGCCGTCGATACACTGACGATAATGAATTATCGTACAGCTAAAGATCAGATCCGTATGATTTCCCAACGCGAAATTCGAGAAAGAGCGTCACGTGACTTACGTCATCGTAGCACCCGCGCAAACGTTTTGTTTACTATAATAAAATATCACAACTAGAATGCGAATTGAAATGCTCTCAAAATCAAGAAAAATGCCTAAAAAAAAAAAAAAGTTAAAAAACGCTCTAAAAATTAATTTAAACGTTGAAAAAGACGTTTTTTTTATTAGGTTTACGAGGCGATTTTTTTTTTTATCACGAACCAATGAATTTCCAGCGATTATCCAAAAGGATTTTAAGTAAATTTGATTTCTGTTTTTTTCCAATCGTCACGGAACCGTTTAAGCGTTATTTTAAAACCATTTTTAATTTTTACCCCTACTCCATGTACTTTAAAAACAAGTACATACTTTTGATTTTCAAATAATAACTAGGAAACAGTGAAGGGCTATAGATATAAATTTACTTAACACAACAGTGCAAATAGTGCAATACGACTACATTACGACTCAAAGCTTATCGTTTGATTTATTGCAGCTAGCATCGCATATTTTATTTGGTACAATCGGTAAGTTAACCTAAGTAAGGCCAATCTGTTAAGATCCGTGGGTGACATTCTCCAATGCTGCAAGTTGCCAGGTCACTCTCTCGAGGAGGGAGCATTTTCCTCTTACGATCAGGTGATGTCCGCGATCGCCAGCGTGCTGCGAAGATCTCCATCCGGGGTGTTCAAGAATGTAATAAACAAATGCCCGTGCGACCATGCATCACCAACACGGCTCCAGGTAAGATAACCTAATGCGTTTTAAAAATAGAAATATGTTTTTTTTTACTTTTAGCAGGAAATCAAATTAAATTTGACCAAAAATTCTGATAAAACCATGAAGTTTGTGGAAAAAAAACCAAAATTGTCTTAAAAACCTAATGTCCAAAAACGCAAATAAAATTGTTTGATGATACGTGAAACGAATTCTGTGCTCGGAACGCATTGCTTTAGGACAGAGGTTCCCAAACTTTTTTCCCCGTAGACCGCTTGGTAATTTATTCCGTTTTTCATAGATCCGCCCCCCCCTAACAGGTCGGAATAGAACCTCCCGGGAGGTGTATTGCATAGACCACTTTGAGAATCACTGCTTAAAGAAATTCAGAGCAAAAACAAAAAAAAAAAAAATTGCAATTCGCATTACAGTAACCCGCACTCAAATCGTAACAACCCCGACCCGGTGATAATTTCCCGGACAGTCCGCCGGTCGCGGCGGCCCCGCAACAACATTGACGTACAACGACGATAACAGCCGGGCAATGCCGTCGGTCGTTTCGCAATCCGCGCGTTCACCATCGCCGCCGACAATTAGTAAAAGTCAATCGGCGATCGTCCGCGATTGCCATAACAACATAATCGTTGCACCGCGGTCGTAATCCGGACGCCGAGCACGACCCGCGTATACAATACCCACTTTCTCTGTAAATACGGACGTTTTCATCAGATAAAAATTATCGTTGTTTGCGTTCGACTTGCGCAATAAACGTTAACACCGTTGCGGTCCGCGTTCGCGCGAGTCGCACGGGACGACGGCGCGGGTAAATGGGCAACGGTTCGTAACACAACGCGCCGGAGACTGCGGGGACGAATAGCGCGAGAAACGAACGCGCAGCATTGCGAAAACAATGCGAACGTTTTATTACTTTGTATATTACCCCGTACCACGACGTCCCGGCGTCTCGGCGCAGTAATTCCGTAATTTTATTATTATTTTTTTTTATTATATCGGTCGTAAAATATTATTGCGAGTATACGAGTCACGTTCGGTTGAACGAGTCTCGGGGAGATATAGCGCGGCGGCTGCGTGTTGTCGGAAAAAAATCGTCGGGAAATATCGGGTGGGGGGGGGGGGGAGAGG